TGATCTTGTATTAGGAAAGCACCATGTGAACAGCTCTGCAGTTAACAGAAATGCGATTACAGAGTTGAAGGATTAATTAGGATTAACCTTTATTTTGCCTCCAAATTTTAAGTTTACAAAAACTGACAGACAATATTTAAGAAAGTATTTATATCGTACGTACAAAAAACTGATATCATGTCGATGATATCTGCCATACGCCTAGAACTAAAAAATCAAAATTAATCAACTATAAACATTCCAAAGAATTATACAAATAGGCTGAGTAAACAGCAACCCTTCCTAAAATGCGCGTTTCTGAGAAAATCATTTTAAAATGTCTGATACAGTTTCTTCTCGTCTTTTTTTAAAATATAATAGACTCGATTTTGGAAGAATCGCTGTTTAACAACCAATTAGTTTCCAGATAAAATGAAATTTTTATTTTCACGTACCTTTATTTTAATTACTAGGTGGCTCCACCCTCAGATCGTTTCGCTCACCAACTCCCATAAATGCTTTTCTTTCAACTTATTTTTTTTTCTTAGGCGTCAATATTTTCCAGTAAAACAGATAAATTTTTTTTCTTCAAAATATGCAATTATTGTAGTTTTATGCAGGAACAATATCTTGACTTACGAAATAATGATGAAATAGACAAGTACCTAGATTTAAATATAATCATCTGCACTTGAGAAAAAAATCAACATATGGAATACACATTTGGAGACTCAATAAAAATAAATAAATATTTTAAAATTTTATTGCCATCGTAGAATAGCCGACCCAATTTAAGATTACTTTCGTTTTCACCAGCTTCAAGAGAAAACAGATTCGAAATTGATCGTAGAACTTCATCACCTTTTGTCTTTAACTTCATGAGTCTGATGTTTCTATGTCACGTTAAAACCTCGATGACTTTCTCTAGATGCCAATCGTATCTCTTCATGTTGTTGTACGCGACAGGAATACAGGATAAATAATCATAAGACATTTTTTAGAACAACCATTTTTATTATTATTTTTTATCTGTTTTTTTCTCTCGTTGCTATTCGCAACTCTCATAAAAATAAGACGAACAGACATGTGACATATGACATTCCTACAATACTCCCTCACCAGTAACTAAGTTACGATGATAGGCAAGTATGTCAAATTTGTCATATTCGCGATCGCAACGAACTATAGGGGGCGTTGTTGTATGAGACGCTTACCTGCGATTTCTATATGAACCGTCATTCAGTTACTCTGGAGACGTCGTTAATGTAGCGTGTAGCATTGCAACGTTCCTTCTTTAATGTGGCTTATTAAATTTAAAAAAGAAAAATGCTTGATCTTCTTTNCTCAATTTTGCCATTGCACTGAGGATGATATGCAGTTGTTCTGTTGATTTTTACTCCACATAAGTTGGTAAGAGATTTAAACGTTTCAGAATCAAACTGTGATCCTCTATCGGTAATTACTCTGTATGGCACTCCAAATCTAACTATCCAATTTTCATAGAAACATCTGGCGACTGTTTCAGCTTTGATATCAGGTATAGGAACTACTTCTATCCAGCTTGTAAAACGGTCAATACAAGTCAAACAGTATCTGTTTCCATTGGATGGGGGTAACGGTCCAATTAGGTCAATATGTATCTCGTTAAATCTTTCATCGGGTTGTTGATATTCTCCAAACTGGGATTTAGTATGTTTTGAAATTTTGTTTTTTTGGCAATCAATACAGGATTGTGCCCAAATTCGAACATCTTTTCGAATTCCAGGCCAAATAAATCTTGACGCTATCTGTTTGATAGTTGATCTGATTCCTGGATGAGATAAACCATGTATCAGTTTGAAAATAATCATTCTTGAATTTTTAGGTATATATGGTCTAATTTTATTAGCAGAGATATCACACCATAGAAATTTACCAGACTGTAGTGGTTGTTGTTTAAATTTTAAGGTTGTGTCTGATTGCATTAGTTGTTTTAATTCTTCATCACTACTTTGATCATCAGCAATTTTCTCATAATCTACACTAGTTACTTCTTGAATTCGGGATAACGCGTCTGCGACGATATTATTTTTGCCAATAATGTGTTGAAGGTTAGTCGAAAACTGGGATATGTACTGGAGATGTCTATTTTGTCTTGGAGATGCTTTTTCATTTTTTTGTTTGAAGGCAAAAACCAGTGGCTTATGGTCTGTAAATATAGTAAATTCTCGACCTTCTAATAGATGTTTGAAATGCTTTACAGAAAGATATATCCCTAATAATTCTCTGTCGTAGGTACTATATGATTTCTGTGCATCATTTAATTTTTTTGAATAGAAAGCTATCGGTTTCCAAGCACCATTTTCGTATTGTTCCAATACAGATCCGATTGCGAAATCTGAAGCATCTGAGCAAAGGCATAGAGGTAATTCAAACTTCGGATATGTTAGCAAGGCTACATTGGATAAGTCTTGTTTGCATTTTTCAAACATGTTAATAGCTTGTTCAGTCCACATTATTTTTCTTTTGTCATTTTTATGAGCTCCTTTCAAATATTCGTGGAGAATTGCTTGTGTTTTAGCAGCGTCTTTGATGTATCGTCTATAATAGTTTATTAGACCAAGAAAGGTTCTCAGTTCACGTATGGTTTCTGGCAACTTGTAATTATGGATTGCTTCTACTTTTTGGGAAAGGGGCTTGGATCCTTCCGAACTGATTTCATATCCCAAAAACTCCAATTTCTCCACAGCAATGACTGACTTGGAGATATTGATTCTGAGGCCATATTTATCTAATTTATCAAAAAGTTGTTTTAAATGAGATTGATGCTCTTCTTTGTTTCGAGATGCCACTAATATATCGTCTAGATAAGGAAAAACGAAATCAAGTCCACACAGAACTTCATTTACGAAGCGTTGAAGTGTTGAAGGTGCATTTCTGAGGCGGAAACTCATAACATTGAATTCAAAGAGTCCGAAAGGGGCAATTATTGTAGTTTTTTGTTTGTCCTCTTCATTTATAGGAAGTTGATAATAAGTAAATCAAATTCAGAAAAAACTTTGGTGTCTTTTAAAATATGATGAAAATCTCCTATTCTTGGTATTGGATATCGGTCTGGTATTGTTTGGTCGTTTAGCCGTCTATAATCTCCACATGGTCTGTAAGACCCTTCCTTCTTTTTAACCATATGTAAAGGACTTGCCCAGGGTGATTTTGAGGGTATAATAATCCCGTTGTCAAGCATGAATTGAAATTCTTCTTTGGCCATTTTCATTTTTTTCAGATCTAATTGTCGTGCCTTAGAAAGCACAGGTTTTCCCGTTGTGGCGATAAAATATCGAATTTCGTGTTTAACATCACTAATTAATAAGTTTGGCTTAGTTAAATTTGGATATGAAGAGAATAATTCAGAAAACTTAGAATTTTTATCCATAGTAGAAATTGTTTCCGTCATGCATATTGGAGAAATTTCCCCTTTAACTACTAAATTGGTTACTCCATCAATCAATCTTTTTCCTTTAATGTCAATTAATAAGTTAAACTTATTAAGAAATTCAGCACCTATTATTCCTTTATTAATTTTGGCGATAATAAATGGAAAATTAAATGAGCGGTGAAGTCCTAAATCACCAGTTAATATTTTGATTCCATAGGTTGTAATCTCGGATCCATTTGCTGCATATAGTTTATAATCGCTTGCACTTTGATAACTTTTATTGGCGGGTAATGGTAATAAACTGGCATCGGCTCCGCTGTCGATAAGGAAGTTTATTCCTGTATTTTTATCTCGAACATACAATCGAAATTTACGGCAATCATGTACTTCCTCAGCAGCAGAATCTGCCGTGAAGTCTACTGCTTTTGCCTGTTTTCCGCATCAGAATAATAAGAACATGGTTGGCGACATTTACCAGGTCAACATTTTGAACCTAATCGCAAATGATAAAAACAATATTTACCTGTTGGGTTACATCGCCTTCGAGAACGGCTTCTACTTCTATAATTTATTCTATTGTAACTTCGATACATATCGCGAGATTTTCTTGCCGTCAAATGTGCTATCTGTTCTTCAAGGGAAGAAATTTTGGCGATGAGATTTTATGTAGAACACGCTTGATTAATGCTGTACATTTCCGTTCTCGGATTTATTTCAGCTATTCTATCGGTCATTACAGCTTGTTTTTCAAGACTTTCTTCACTGACAATTAAAATGTTTTTAATTGCATCAGGTATCTTGTCCAGCCAGAGAGATTTCATCCTTTGAAGTAATTGACTGGGCTTCATATCGCCAATCTCGATTCCAGATACGAGTCGTTTCATCTTTTTGTTTTCACTTTCCTTGAAAATATTCAGTAGTCTCCCTTTTGCGTTGCTGTATTTAGTGATACTTTTGGCGATAATAATGTCCCATATTGTTTCTACATATTTTGGCTCCAGCTGCGAGACCACGTAATTAAATTTAGCTTCTTCTGCTGAAATTCCACAGATAGAAAATTGCACTTCTACCTGATAAAACCAAATCTCTGGTTTTTCGGGCCAGAACGATGGAATTTTAACGCCTACTTTACACACTTCTTCCTTTTCATCGGATGTTAGAGATGATGTGGTTTCCTCCATCATTTACTTTAGAAAATGCTCGGTTTTTTGTGTAAAAACTTTTTATGTAAGTATCAGTAGTATATCCGGGTCACCAGTTGTAGCGACAGGAATACAGGATAAATAATCGGAAGACATTTTTTAGGACAACCATTTTTATTATTATTTTTTATCTGTTTTTTTTTTCTTTCGTTGCCATTCGCAACTCTCATAAAAATAAGATGAACAGACATGTGACATATGACATTCCTATATTGTCACTGGATATCAGCAGAATATGGTCTATTTTGATAGGTGAAGAACTTCGCATTTTTCTATCGAATTGACTCAGCTATCCCAAATATTCCGAACGAAAACGTTTCCTCAGATCTTGTCTCAATCTTTGACGGTAGGCAAACCTTTTATTCAAAAATTTACTGCCCTGGTAGTCCAACTTCTCTGACCTCTTAAAGTAGCATGCTAGGAGTAAAAGGCACTAGATCACTTATATCTTCACTGAGGTATGTGAGAGATCGTTTATTAATGATACTTTCACAATCGCATAAGACAGTATATAATTCTTCGAAGTTGAGAGACGTCCGACCTAAGACTTTGCGAAGTATTCGCTTGCGAATTCCAATCAAACGTTCCCAAATGCCACCCCACCAAACTGGGAGGATAAACTTCCAGTTAATCTTATTCACTGAACTGTTTTTCACTACAAAATCCCAATTGATCTTTTTAAGAAGACTGTTCGCTCCAACCAAGTTTGTTGCGTTGTCTGAGTAAACGATAGCTGGTCTTCCTCCACGAGCCACATGTCTTCGAACTGCCTGTAGGAAACTTTCAGTGGACAGTGATATGGTCAGTTTCTGATGAAAATCTATTCCTGTAATTTCAAATACAGATGCTGTTCTTAGACGGTCAGCAGGCAATGGAGCTGTGCAGTTGCAATTACTCATGAGTCAAATCGTTTGCAAATTATGCACTCTCTGATAAATTTGCGAACAGTCTTTCTGCCCTTCAGAATCCAGAACTCTTCTCTGAGTTGGGTCATTACAATCTGAACACCTGCATGACCAAGAGAACAATGTTTCCAGTGAGCAAGCTTTTCAATTGTTGGATGATCACTTGGTAACACAAGGGGAAATTTGAAATTCTCCAAATCCTCTTTTAGCGAGAGTCTAGTCTCAATTCGAAAAAAGTTCAATATTATCCTCAAGAACTTGGAAATTCTGTAGTCGCTTATCATGAGGTCCCGTGAAAGATTCTCGCTGTGCTATTTTTAGCAACAAAATTTCAGTTCTGTTTCTTTCGTCCACAGTAACGTTTCCAAATTATATTTCATTCAGTTACTGATTGATCATTTGTAATGGGTTCTAAATCTCCTAAATCAATAGATAAAATGTCCTTTTTGCTATCCCATTTTAAACCTGATACGGGGACCGTTTTGGTTTCAATCAATTTAGATTCAAATTCCTCAATAGGAGTATGCTCCCTCGTAAATTAAATTTTGCGGAAGCGAAAATTTCTTGTGATTCATGATTAAACCTAGCTAATTCTTCTTTACTTTCAACACTGTATGCACAATTATCTACATAAAAGGATTTCAAAAGTTTTTGAGATGTTTCTTTATATTCAGAAGGAACATATTCAAATGAAAATCAAGAGTAGCTCCTAATAAGATAGGACTCGAGGATATTCCAAAAATTACAAGGCCTATCTTCTTCATGGAGTCCGATTTACAAAAATGCCTTTCCAATATCAGACACAGCTCCATATTTTCCTATTCTAAAACTATTTATGACTGAAGGTATAACTAAGTTGGGCCCTTTTTCTAAGCAGTCATTGAATGAAGGCGACTCTTTATCTTGAGCGGAGACATCAAAGACTGATCTAACATTCGTTGTCAAATTTTCTTTAAAAACAAGGCGGTGGGATAAATAGAGCTCTGGTTCAGAACAATGCGCCTCTTCTATTATAGCCTGATCTAACCAGTCATTAAAAATTGTTTCGTATTCAGTATTTTTGCCTAATTTCTTAAGAAATTTTATAAAATTTTCGAGTCTTTTCTCAGAAATGCCCTTACAATTTTTTAAGAGGAGATGTCCATCATTCCAGGGTAATCGAACCTGATACCTCCCCTCAGAGTCTCTGATCTCAGTTTTTATTTTATTTTATAACCGTCGTTGAACAGCCGACCCAATTTCATGGGTTTACGACTACTTGCGTTCAACTCCGTAGCCTTGTAATTTTGAACCAATCCAGAAGACAAGGAAACTCCTGGATCAGTACCCCCAGAGGTATTGATTTGTTGTGGGAACATGGAGGACTTTGAGACTCGACAGATTTAACGTGCATCAGTCACCATTTACTACACGGGGAGTCTTCGGCCGGCGAGGATCGAACCCACGACCTCTTGGATATGGGCCCAGCGCCCTACCGACCAGGTTATCCCGACCCCCTCTGATCACAGTTTGAAAAAAATGCTCTTTCGCCGATTGTTCCAACTCTTCCGTAGTTTTTTTCTCACTGGGGTCAGCAATACCAAGTGTGTCTAGCCGCCATAAATCTGAAACATTCGTATCATTTACATGACAAGATGGGACGGCATTTGTACTATCTTGTTTTTCAGCCTTATTATTCTTTCCCATTATAGCCCAAGCTAAATTAGTTACAACGCAAACCAATCCAGAACAAAGTTTTTCTACTCCCTCACTGAGAAGTTTGCCAGCAATGTCAGCCTCAATTTACAAATGAATTTCGAAGAGAGAAGATTGATAGAACAACTGATCATCATAACTCTGCGTAGTATCAGTTAAAAATATACCACGAGACTTAAGCTCTTTTACGTAAGGGAATAAAGTCATTCTGGAAATATTAGAACAAATTACTTCCTTATCCAATACCTGAATGATAACTATTATCTATATTACTTATATGAGCTAAATATCTTTTATAATTTTCTGCCTTCTTAACACCCCCAAATAAAGAATGTAAAATAGATTCTTCACCGATGACATCATATTCCATACACGTTGCAGCGTATTTCGATAGTCGCTGTGAACCCATATCAATGAGAATCCGAATAAATTTGGTTTTATTAATTCCCGCGTATTCGTACTACTACTGTTTGTAAAGAAACCTGACGCATGCATGTAGCGTAAGTTAAGGAGCTTTCCGTAACGATTTTTTTTCTTCTGATCCCCTTTCATCAATTTTATTGCCATGAAATTCTTCATTCATTTTACACATAATTATCAAAGGTTGCCCATTGCATTTCAAGCAATTAACTTTATTTTTACGAAAGCGCGCAATATGTCGAGGTTTATAAGTTAAACATCAAAAACAGATGCCCTTCTCCAAAAGGATTTCTTTCTTTTTTTCGAATGGTAAACCCATAGCATATCTACTATCTAGAGTTAAATGAGATTTATCACAAAACACACATTCATCCACTTTCGAATTTGCCACATGTGAAATGTTTTGCGTAGAGCTATTAATTAAATCAGCGGCAGATATCTTATTCCTCTGGCGATGGTGAGTCATCGGTTTTCTATTATGATTTTCTAATCCGAAAGAGGAACAAGCTATCAAAAAATTTTGTTTCGATTCGATTTCTTTTTTCAAAAAATTTAAGATAAATGATATATTAAAAATTAATCTATCATTTCCAGAAATCTCTATTTTTAATTCCCTTTGCTCCCATTCATATATCTTCAGTAAATTGCTTGGCAAACATGACTCAATCAAGGGATATAATAAAATAGCGGAAAAATTATCTTTCGCTAAAAAATTTTCCATCGAAGAACATTTCATTTGGAATTCTCCGTATTTTTAAAGCAGGAGAGTGTTGTGATTTTTATAATAAAAAAATTGCTTGTAAATAATTTTTTTTCTTATTTGATGATAGTTCTCTACGAAAAGGTTGTTTACGTCTGAATAAGAACTATGAGAATAAAAAAAAGGAACAATATGAAAGTTTTTCTTTCTATATGAGGAATTTTTAAAATCGTTTTTTTCCTAATAATTCTTTATTTTATGTTTTTTAGTTTACGAGTAGTAATTACCCTGCTCATTTGTAAATGCGTTTACGCCAGTATAGACCTAATTGAACCAAAAAAAAAGTAAATTTGCAAAAACTTGAGCTCTGAAGTTCAATAGAAATAAATCTCAGAATGGGCCGTAATTTATAAATATTTTAATATATGAATAGGTTTCTTAAATCATGATTTTCAGGGCTGAACAATTTTATGAACTGATTTATCCTAAGATCAAGTTTTCTATTCAGAGTATCCAAGTTTTTGAGAATTTTTGAACATGTACACATAAGCAATGAAATGTTTATTAATTCAAAAGAAGTCATCCATTTTTGGGCTACAAGGATGTTACATGGAGACGATTAGGACTTTTACAAGCAGTAGTGATTTAAACAAATACTAGGAGGCTCCGCACCCTGCCCGCTAACGCTCGCCAACCCCCGAGAATTGCTACGCAATCCTATGTGGTTCACGCCGTGGACCATGGCTCGCTGCGCTCGCTCGCCAATGAACACAATGTTCTAGCACAAAGACATAATATATTATCATCAAAGGCATAGTATTTTATCATCAAAGACATAGTATTGTACTTATGTAGAAGAATTCTACCAATGTTCTTATTGGCTTTTAAAAAAGTATATTAGCTATTTAGATTGTACATGGTGAAAAAATCAAAACATTAGCTAAATAAGAAACATATTAGCAAAATAAATTATCAAATATTGCTTCACTAATATTCTGCATTTTAAAGCGTGAAAATTCAATGCATAAATAAACGCGAAATATAAAAAAATTCAATGCATTCAATACAAACACTTAAACGTTTTTTAGACGTTTAGGTAGCTCCCAGTAGAAAAATATCAATTCAACAGCGGCCTTTTAAAGCATTCTCACTTCAATTAATTAATTAATTCCTAATTGAGTTTAAATTAAATATTGTCATGTTTTTAGTGCATGAATCTGAATTGAACAACCTGATAATGCTCACTCTGGTTATTGTTATCTGGTTGCTCACTACGTGCTCTTGCGCGCCGAATCCAAACAATTGAAAATGAAAACTGTTGCCAGCGCGAGAAAAGAAATATCATCGGTTTTATTGATGCATACATACATACGTACGTATTAGCGTTTTATATAATATAGATAGATAATTTTTTGATAAAAATTGTTGTCAAAATACTTTTTCTGAAAAATTAAATGGTATAACATTATATGTTTATGTATACTTCTTGCATATTCTAAAGTTTGAAGTAATATGATTCAGAAAAGTATGGAATAAAAATTCGGTACTTACGTATTAACGCCACCGCAGGTACACATTTGGTGGTTTTTAAGGGCCGCCAATCTCCACCTAAAATGTTTGCGACAAATCATAAAATAAAACACTTTATTTAAGATCAAAACACTTTCAAAATTCAAAACATTTTATTTAAAATCAAAGTAGTCAATCGGATATCGGTGGAAAATGGGCCGATATAGAGTTTAACCTAGATTCAAAACAATCTCTATTTTCTTTCACCTGATGATCTCGCCATATGAACTCTAATAAATAAGATTCCAAATGAAATAACTTTTCCAAAACGTGCATTTACCAAGATAAGGTTTCACGTAATGGGAACTGGTAGATTTTCGTTTTTTTGGTATAATATTTCGCACCTGAAAAAATAAAATTGCATCTTGTTCTGTTTTTGGCAATCCCCAAAGAAGCATTTTCGTAGCACTAAAAAATGTCGTCAAAAATCAGCAAACAACAAGGCGACAAGGAATCCAAAAGATGATATCCAGGATTATTTGATGATAATTTTCTATAGAATAGTTTTCTACGTCCGATTATGAATAAAAAAAAAAGATGCTAATTTTTTATTTTAATGTGAGGAATTCTTAGAGTTGTTTTATCTTGTTTTGTTTCGTAAGCATTCTTT